CTAAGATAGAAGCTCTCGTCAGGCTCAGTTGTGTGTCTGTTTTCCTTTTTAGCATATTGCTTCCCCCCAAGAGATGTGATGAGCCCACAAACCTAATTTTTATTTAAAAAGGTGATTCAAACCATACAGAGTGAATCAGTGCTTTTCTTTATTTTTGTCTTTCTTTACTTCCCATCCAGAGACACACTTCAGCAGCACAGTCAGAACAGTCTTACTGCAGTTTAAACAAGCATTCACAAGAGAAAAGAATCCAATCTTAAAACTGCTGGGAACTTCAGATCACTATATTGAATATGATGAAATATTAGATTTTTACCTTAAGTATATACACATACTGAACAGTTTTGTGAAGCATGCAGATGGTTTTGAAGTATATAATTCAGAAGATATATTTTTATTGGTTTTAGCTTTCTTAAAAGTTTTCTTTTCCAGTGAAGTTTTGACATAGAAGTTATTTTATTTAGATGGATAGGTTTACATAGATGATAAATTAATTTCATTTTTTTTATGTATTTAGTACAGTGTCTACAGGATCTCACTTCCTAGATCAGACTCATACTGATTCTCCTGTTTGCAGCCCCCCAAGTTCTGGAATTACAGCCCTGTGCCACCATGCCCAGTCTCAATCCCTGTCTCAGCACACCCTGGGGGTGGGGCAAGTTAGGCACGCCAGGGATCAAACCCCAGCTGGTAGGCTCTGCCTAAGAGGGCACTTTAGACCACTGAGCTATCTGGCTGGCCCATAATTTCACTATTTTTAAGCTAATGAAACTTTGAAAATGAAAGCAATGCTTTAGAATTAATTCACATTTATAGTAAGACATTTCTAATGTAGTGCAGTTTAGTGGAAATATCGTATGTATTGTGTAATAATTCTTGGGAGAATTATTATTCATGCATTATGGTGAATGAAAGAGAGAAAGAGAATATTTGGATACAAACTGAAGAGAAGGCTAGGACTGGACAAATAGCTCAGTGGATTAAAGTGCCTATAAGCAGGTGCAGGGGCCAGGGATTTGATCCCTGGGCCTGCCATGCCGGCCCTGCCCCTGGGGCTTGCTGAGATAGCAATTGAAACTGGGCATAGTGGCATGCCTATAATCTTGGCTCTTGGGAGGCTGTAAACAGGCAGATCACTATGAGTCCCATCTAGCAGTGAGACTTGAACACCCTGTAGACCCTACCCTAAAAAAGAGAGACAGAGACAGAGACAGAGACAGAGGCAGAGACAGAGGCAGAGAGAGAGAGAGAGAGAGAGAGAGAGAGAGAGAGAGAGAGAGAGAAGGGAAAGGTGTTAAATCTAGGTTACTAAGTTTATTTCTCACTTCAACTAAAGTAAGTCAACTTTTGTAATGTTCACCTGAATTTGCAGCAAATCATACTGTATTGAAACCAGTTCTGGCGTTTGAAAAATAGTGATGGATGATACATACACATACACAAATACTTGCCTTTTTTATTTATAGTTGTTTGCCGGAGTGGAACTGAAATTATTATGTAATATGATATCAGTGCAGCTTTTTTGGTGAACATGCTAAAGTTCTTGAACTTTCTTTCCTATTGCTATAATTGAATCTGCATCAGTGTTTTGCCATAGCATGTCCACAGCAGTGTGTAAAAATACAAAATCAAAGGATGATCACTAATGTTCAAGCTTTCTTAATGAACAGTTATGCTTTGAATTGACCAGTGATGTTGACAGTTTTAAGTTTAATGCAGGGTTCTCCATGGAAGAGAATAGATTTCTTTGTTCTAAGATTGTATTTGAACTGAGATACGTACGCAGTTTGGTTTCAAGCGAGAAGGAAATGACTTAAACATTTTTTATTTTTTACAGAGGGAAATTTTTTATGGTTAATTAAAATGTCAAAGATTTCCCATCCCTTACTTTTTGACAAAGAACTTACATATGATAATATCTCATTTTGTTATATACCCTAGCACACTTGTTTGAATCTTCTTTATATAACATAATTTATGACTTAAAAAATATTTACATTGGGGCTGGGGAGACAGCTCAGTGGAATAAGCGATTCCCTGGCAAGCACAAGGGCCTGAGTTCAATCCCTGGTTCTGAAAAAAAAAAAAAAAATTACAGTGGGAAGAAGTAGAAAGCTCTGCTTTGCCTTTAGTTTGGTAGTTGTAATGAAATTATCATTATTCATCAGTACATAGGAATAGTAAGTGGCAGAAAGATCATAGAGCAATTGATTTATCCTGGTTGATATGAAAATAAAAGTGTTTTTATGTTAATAAAAGTGTTTCTATGTTGGTATCTTACAGTACAGACTAAATAGCTGTCTTAAGCATCTGCAAAACTCATTTTTTAAAAATGTGTTTAGTACAAAGTCTAGAGGGTCTCACTACACAAATTGGACTCCTAGTGATCCTGCTGTTTTCAGCCTCCCAAGCGCAGGGATTACAGGTGTGCGCCACCACACCCAGTCTCAGTCACCTCTCAGGGTACCCTGGGGGTGGGGCTGAGCCTGCCTAATCAGGCACTTTAGTGTGCTGAGCTATCTGGTTGGCCCTCATTAAGATATTTTAATATTTTATACTTACTGTAATGCCATGAACAATTTACTGTGAATATGATGTTTTTTTTTAATTTAAAATATATTAAGTTCAAAATTAAAAGAACACCTTCAACTCTGATAAACCTGCAAAGTACTTCTTATTGCTATACCTTCCTGCATAGTTCAAACAAGTTTTTCCTTGAGAGGTAAATGTTCATAAACTTTGAGGGTTAAGTGGTAATGCAGTTTTATAAGATATCATTCAATTATAGGCTTGGCTGAAGAAGAACAATTGAAAGAAAATATGAATTTAGGATTGTATAATGAGTGGGTTTTAGTAGATCAGGTGATGTCATGATGTCCTTCCCTCAGTAACTCTTCATTGTCTTCCAGGTAAAGTCCAAGGTCTTTGACTGGTCAACAAGGCCTGCTAAGCATTAATGATGTCTTTTATACTCAAAACTCTTTTTCACTTTGTGCTTTGGTAACACCAAAGTACTCAGTTTATGTTATCTGTATTGTTTCTCTTTTGAGGACTTTGGTTGGTGCCAGTTTCTCTGAGAATTTGTATTCCTCTCCTCCTATTAGTATTATCAACTTTTCTAGGAAGCTTTCCCATGAACTACATGCCAAATCCAGCAGGATCAGATGCCATGCCCACAATACTCTATGGATATATATCTACTTATGTAGCTAGATAGAGATCAGTGTACTCACTTATTATTTTATGTTTCTCTGTATGTATCTGACTCTTCTGTAATATAAGTTCTTTGTGATTAAGTTCTCTATGTTATTCACTTTCTCATGCCAGGTACCAAACACAATAAATAACAAGTTTCAGAAAATACTAAAATGGCAGGTGTTTCGATCTTACAGCAAATAGGGAAAAAGTAGAACTTCAGAGCTCTACATTTCACTAGAAATGACCCACTATTCTAGAGCCGATGAGGATAACTTTGTAGTGGACATCTTGTAAAATTTCCCAACTGGTTTTTCACTCTAATTTTCTCGCCTTTCAACTCCATTCTTAATATGTTCTTCACACTCCAATTAAGACTTCTTTTCTAAATCTACGGTATTACTATGACAGGGCCGGGGAGATAGCTCAGTATAGAATAAGCGCTTGCCTGGCAAGCACAAGGGCCTAAGTTCAATCCCTGGTCCTGCAAAAATAAATAAATAAATAAATAAATAAATAAATAAATAAAATATTATTATGACTGCCTTCAGTTTCCTAGTAATATTCAGCTCCTTTTGATTGTTTCATAGTGATCTTATTAGAAAGATACAGCTCCCAGAATGCCAAGAATAATGTCAGCTTAAATTTCCTCCCCCTTTGCCTTTTCCTTTATCACAGTCTGTGCATCAGGTATAGGGAACATCTTTCAGTTCCCCAGCCATGCATGTATTGTTCTCCCCAACCTACATAGCCTTTATGTCTTCCTGTATGCCCACCATAGACCATCTGTATGATTTCTGTTCACCCTTAGGTTTTTGCCTTAGCACTATTTCTGATTACTGACTACTCCAAAAGTTAAGGTTTAAGTGAACCTGTCTTCTGGGCTCACACAGCACTCCAGACTTAGCCATATCATAGTTCTCATCAGATTATCCTGACCAAACATGATTATTAACATGTCTATATCACACAACTTAATATAAGTTCTGTTAATAGCAGCAGCAGCAATAGTAGTAACTATTTACTAAGCCCTTGTACAAATCAGATGAGATGCAAAATTAACATTACCTTACTTAAGGTAATGAAAAAAATAAAACAGAAATGAAATGCCTTCTCAAACCAGAGAGCTAAGAAGCCAAGCTAGAATTCTAAGCAGGGTCTTTTGAGTAGGCTTGTGCTTTCACAACTTCACAGTGATACCTCCTCAGCACTGTATTTTGGGGCCAGAGATATAGCTCAGTTATCTAAGCAACTGCCTGGCAAGTGCTCAGGTCTTGAGTTTGTTCCCAGTACCAAAAAAAAAAAAAAGTTCAAAAAACTATAGAACTGTTTTTATAGTTTACTACTCCTCTGCGAGCTCCCAGTCTGTATAAGGGATCAAGCCCAAAACTTTGTGTGTGCTAGGTAAATGTTCAGTTATGGCCCATCCACATTGGCCTATTTGTAACACCTTGTGTATCTGATATTTATAACTAAAGTTGCCAAATAAAAAGATAAAGATTTAGCAGTGAAATATTGAACCTATTTCCATTGTGTGTCTCTTCATATAACATTCGCCAAATAGATTTCTTTTGCTGCTTCTTCCATATCTAGCCTTAGTTATTCCAATTGGATAGATAATATTCATAGTTTTTAGATGGCTTTGTGAATAGAGGGGAGAAATGTGTTAACTAAGCTAAGGAACAAGCTGTTCAAGGGTAAATAATTATATTTTTATAAAATAATCAATTTGCTTTTAGTTCAAATTGATGAACGTTATAAATGATGGCAGCTGTTTTGTATAATTGATTCATGCTCTGCCCTTTCTATAAAGCAAACTCAGAATGTGTCCATTCACCCAGGAGCAATTCACACACCTGAAGCGGAAGCTGGTTCTCAAAGTTTGACTCAGATATATGCATTGCCTGAAATTCCTCGAGATCAAAATGCTGCAGAATCATGGGAAACCCTAGAAGCGGTATGTTAAAAAAGTGTTTTCTTTTTGGTAGCTATAAAGCATAAAGATAAGTAACTTCCCTCCCTCTCTCTTTTTAAGGATTTAATTGAACTTAGCCAACTGGTCACTGATTTCTCTATCCTAGTAAATGTAAGTATAAAAACATTTTTTGACTTACAATTGTTAGATTATTAAAATAGCTTTACTCAGTCAATGTAATTTTTATTAGAATTTTAATAGCTCAAATTTTTAAAAACTGGTGTTAAGCCATAGATAAAAGTCTAATTGTTTTCAAATCCCAGATACGTTAAATAAATATTTACCACCATCTATTATGTAAAAGGCACTGGTTTAGATACTCAGCACTGGGGTCTGACAAGGTTGAATGTAGAAATAAATGAAGTCTACTCTTTTTCTTTAAGGACTCTACAGTAGGTGGATGTAGACTTGAGTCCCCAAAATTGAGCTGTCAGGCCTGATAACTAGATGACAAAATAAGGTCTAAAGAGAAATGTCAGACCATTTTGTCCAAGAAGAAATGTTTAATTTTAAGGCAGAGAGGCACAGTTTTTTTGAGGTAGAAACACTACATATATAACAAAAGGTTTCTTTTCTTTTTCTTTTTGAGGAAAAACAAAACAGAGTTTATTAATAAAGCAGGCCATTGGACCCTTCTCGGGTTACAGATCGTAAATGTTCAGCATGCGAACATGCTTCCCCAGTCTTTCAGATCAGAAACATATCCAGCTTCTTTCTTAGTCTCTGCTTAAATACCTCTTGGTTTCCATAGCAATGGGACTCTTCTTTGTAATTAGTTCTGTTTTCCTCTTATCTCTTTTATATTTACAACATCTTAGTGAGGGTGGGGAAGGAGTGAGGGAGTTAGACTATCTTAACAAGAATGGGGAAGAA